CGCCGAAGCTTGTTCGCGGCGGAGGCTGCGACCCTCTTCTCTCAGTCTTCCTTCCTACCATGCCGCTCTACGAGGGCCTGGGGAGCGGCGGAGAGAAGACGGCGGTCGTGATCGACCTGGGAGAGGCCTTTACCAAGTGAGTGACCGTGACGCCAGCTGTGTTCGACCCGAGGGGAGGGCGGGTGGCCGAGCCCCAGGCACTGCCTGGGTCCTCATCGCCGACTCGCTGGGCAGTTCCGGGCCTTCCCTTTTCTTCAACCAGCGCCCTTGTAAATAACAACCCTTATTATTTCCTCCATGGGCAATGCGAATTCGAGGATCGGGGTCTGACTCCCAGAGAGGCCCAGGAAGCTTCAATTGAATTGCCCTTGTCGCCGCCCCTTGTCATCACCCCAAACCCAACAAACCCTTTGGAATCATCTGTGTAGGGGGTGACAACCGTGACCTAGACCCCGCTTACCCTGGGCTCATCAGATGAGGAAGGCAGCCAACGGCATGTAAATGTTCTATGACGAATTTCATCATAAAATATTGAACGGAGCTTATTTTGGTGCTGAAAATGCAAAGATGTTTCAGACAGGGCTATCGCTCCTCAAGAATTAGGGAGACTGGGCACATTAAGAGGTGAAACCCTACAGATAACACTCTGGAAATCCTTTGTTGGCTCCCCTAAACTCTAAGGTTAGATTTGACATGTTTTAAACAAACCAGCGTGTAAACACTAGAGAGGAGTTTCTCAACCCTTCGGATGGCATAGTTCTCTTTAATGGCTGGATGAAAACCTCAAATGCACAAACCCTAAGATATTTACACACAGTTTCAGGGAATTGGCAGACAGTCATTGTGGTCCTGGGACTCCAGATTAAGAGTCTTTGTGATGGGCTCAACAGAGAGGGAAGTAACAGGCAATTACATTATATATGTGTTTATGAAAATGAAACATTTGAAAAATCTTTTTGTATCTCTAGGCACTTCCTGACGTATAGTAGGTATTTAATAACTGTTTATTCACTAACTATTTAAAAGAGCCTGTTTAAAAATTGGACCTCAGGAACTCCAGAATTGGATTAAACATAGTCCTTGGTTAATGACATTCTCTTATTGTTTTATGCAAGACCCTTCCTTATGTATATTTTCTTATAAAAATTATTTTGAAAGCATAATAAACAATTTGAGGCTTCTATTCAAAGATAATTATTTTGGCCGTACTTGGAAGAAATAAGCAAAAAGCTATATTTGAATAATACAGCAGGAGGATGATAAGATAAATATATGAAGTAAAAAAAAGAAATTGAAGTCTAATGGCTTGCATTCTGAAATGTTTGACGAGCACTGATGCAAGTAAACATGGAGATGGGAATAGGAGGAGATGAAGATAATTATTTCGGAATACGAGGAGAGCAGTACCAAAAACTAGACAGGACAAGAAGACAGGGTGTTAAGACTAAACTAGTATGATCATTTTTAGCAACGTTTTTAGCAAAATTTTGTTTTACTAACATGAAACAAAACTGGAAATAGCTAAATACTCAAGAGCATCGTTTTTAAAATAATGAAATATGCAGTTTTAAAAATGATACTGTAATCCCAGCACTTTGGAAAGCTGAGGCGGGCCGATCACTTGAGCCCAGGAGTTCGAGACCAGCCTGGGCAACATGAGGAAACCCAGCTCTACAAAAAATGCAAGGTTTAACCGGCCATAGTGTTGTGCCTGAATTCCTAGCACTTTGGAAGGCCAAGGGGGAAGGATCGCTTGAGCCTGGGAGACGGAGGCTGCAGTGAGCTGAGTTTGTGCCACTGCACTCCAG